TGCACTTTTACTTTGGGACTGCGGGTTAGATTCCCGATAGATCCCCCTGCACATTGATGGTTGGACTACAGGATGGTATCCCGGGAGATCCTTCGGTTTGGCACATGAGTTGGACTACGGGACGGTATCCCGGGAGATCTACTGGACAGTTGAGAAAAGGGCTACAGGACGGTATCCTGGGAGACCCTCATTGTTATCCTTGGTATTGAGTTGTAGTCATTCCGTGTTTATTTTGTTCTTTGTGTAGTTGTTATTGCCTCGTTGACCTGTCTTATCTCACTGCTGTACTCATTATTTCTGTCAGATTTTCATATTGTTAATTATTATTATATTTTACCTCAGTAGGGCCCTGACTTTCCTCGTCACTACCCAACCGAGGTTAGGCTTGCCACTTACTGAGTACCGCTGTGGTGTACTCATGCCATTCCTGCGCATGTTTTTTCATGTGCAGATCCAGGTACCTCTATTCAGGCGCACTATCCTTGAGGCGAGGAGATACACGGAGACTTCGAGGTATATCTGCCGCGTCCGCAGACCAGGAGTCTCTATTCTGTTCCAGCTTTAGTATCTAGTTTATTCCTTTTCTCTCAGTTGTTTAAATATTCTGGAGCTAGAGCAGCGTACTATGTTTCTGTTAGCCTGTGGTTCCCGTGAGTTTTCGGGTTTTGGGTTGAGATTTTAGACTTCTGCGATTTATTTTTTTGAGTTGTATATGCCAGATGGCACTTATATACCCTTTTCTTCTAGTTTTGCTTAATTTAATTGAATGTTTCCGCAAGTTATATTAATTTCCGCATTGTTAGGCTTACCTAGTTATAGGAACTAGGTGCCATCACGACATGTTCATGGAGGGTGAACTGGGGTCGTGACAAGTTGTCAGCCTATTTGTGCTCAAAGGGACTCCTAGGTACCTAAAAGGTAGGTCTCCTTTACTGTATCCTAGCATGTCCATAATATGTTGTTGTGTCATGTTGTTCACTCCTCCAAAGTAGATGCAGCTTTTATTTGGATTTGCAATTAGCCCTGATGCTGCAGAGAAAAATGGAAATTGTTTGTGCAAGATCTTGACTGATTGTATGTCTCCTTTACAGAACAGCAGTAAGTCATCAGCAAATTCCAATTGTACAAGGTTGACTTTAGCACATTTTGGGTGGAATTTAAACTTCTTGTTCTCCTTCACTGACTTCATAATTCTGCATAGATACTCCATGGCCATCACAAAGAGCACTGGTGACAAGGGATCCCTTGTCTAAGTCCTTTTCTTTCCTCAAATGGCTTGGTAGGCTTTCCATTGATTGTAACAGAGTAAGCAACCGTACTAATACATACCATCATCCAGTTTACAAAATTTTCAGGAAATCACAGTAATATCATCACCTACTAAATATATACCCATTCCACAGAATCATAAGCTTTTTGCATATCGATCTAGAGCATAAACCTTGGCGATATGTTCTTCCTCCCGTAGCCTTTAACCAATTCATGACTCATAATGATGTTATCAATAATCATTCTTCTTGGCACAAAAGTTGTTTGGTAATTATCAATTAGATCTGGCATAACTTCCTGTAATCTTGTTGTTAGGATTTTTGATACTATCTTATAGAGCACAATGCAACAAGATATAGGCCTAAACTTCTTAATGCTAGTTGGGTTCTTACTTTAGGTATCGGGGTAATAGTGGTGCAGTTTATGGCTTTGCACATTTCTGCACTTTCAAAGAACTCCATCACTGCTTCAGTAATCTCATCACCCAGAATATGCCATCTCTTCTTGAAGAAAAATGAATTATATCCATCACATTCCGGTGCTTTGCTATCATCGATGTCCAATATTGATTTCTTTACTTCCTCTCTAGTGACTGGCTTGATTAGCTGTAGTTTTTGCTACCTGCTCAACATATAGCCTTTCTGGATGATTTCTGTGTTGACCACTGGTAATTGTGAAGCTGCTGTACCAAGTAAACTCTTGTAGAAGTTCAGTATTTCCTCTTCCACTTTATTTGCACTTTTGAGTATTTGCCCTGCATTGTTGATTAGTCTGCCAATATGATTTTTTGCTTTCCTTTTGTTCACACAGGCATGGAAGTATGATGTGTTTGAATACTCTAATTTGAGCCATTTTATTCTTGTTTTCTGCTTAAGTATACTTTCCTCCACCTCCAGCCATTCAGCCAGTTCACGTTTTGCAGCCTTTTCTTGTACTATTGTCTCATTGTCATTTCCTGGACCTATCATTTGAGCCTGGATACCTTCTAGTTTATTTCTTGCTACTTGAAACTTATTCCCGATACTGCTAAATTATTGGTTGTTTAGCTGCTTCAAATCTCCCTTTAGCATTTTGAGCTTATTCCATACCTTTAGCATTGCATCTCCATTTTGCCTCTTTTTCCAGCATTGCTTAACTGCGTCATTAAAGTCTTTGTGATATGCGAAACAGTTAAGAAATTTGAAAGGTCGCCTTCCTTCTTGACTAGTGTCATCAATAAGTATGCTCAAAGGACAATGATCTGAAAAATCAGGGTTCATTATAATCCCCTCCATGGCAGGCCATTTTTTAATCCACTATGCATTTACCAGAATTCTATCAATTCTATTGTGAACATGGTTGTTTGTCCAAGTGAACTTTCTCCCCACTGTTCTGAGTTCATCTAGTCGGGGATCCAGTATGAAATTTTTGAAATCTCTCACCTCAATCTCTTGTACTGCATTCCCCTACACTCTATCCTCACTAGATAAGATAGTGGTAAAATCACCCATTATTAAGCTCTGGCCACTGATTCCAGCCATAATTCTCCTCAATTCATCCCATAATGCCTTCCTATCTTGTATAGAATGTAATCCATATACAGCCCCAAAGTTAAACTTGGTTCTGTTCTGGTTCATGGTCACCTGTCCTAGAATATATTGCTCATGTACTTGATATACCTCAAACTCCAACTTTGTTTGATTCCATAGTACCCATATTCTGCCTCCTGAAGCTGCATCATAATTTGCTATCCATTTCCAGTTATTAAACACATTTTTTATTATTCAATCAGCAGTAGGTTCCTTGACTATATTCTCTAGAACAACCATTAGTACCACATTATTCTCTCTACTAAATTTTTTGAGTTCTTTTTGCTTGTATACTTTATTCAGACCCCTAACATTCCATGATATGATATTCATCATCATATAGTAGGTATTTTATATTCACCACATTTATCCCTTTCACTAAGCTGCCCTCTTTTCTCTTGAGCTTCAGAAAGTTCCACAATCTTCTGTGTTGTATCAACTAACGTTTTGAAAGCATTACCAATGTTTACTTCATTCTCACTTACAGCTCCCATATTCTTTTTTGATGCAGACTTTCCTCTAGCCAGTTGTCATTGTTCTGCATTTTTCTTCTTGATCAGCACCTCATCACCTTCTGATTCCATTTGATCCAGAAACCTACCATGTGCATCAATTTTATTAGCCTTAGGATCAATTACCCTCACTATTCTCCATTCTTGTTTCTGTTTCTGCTATAGAACTCTTTGTTGTCCACCCTCCTGGTTCTGCTTCTTTTGGTCTCTACATGAATGTCTTATTTGACAGCATGTCTGACAGTACTGAGGCTTCCAATTATATTGAATCAGATGTTCAATCACCTTTCCCTTGGGGTCATAAAGTTTGATTGATCCTGGTAGTGGCCGAATGATATCCATTTCAATTAACACCCTAGCATATGAGATTCTATCAGCCACTGTGGTACATGCATAAGCATACACGGGCTTTCCCAGACCACTCCCAATTTTGCTTAGGGCTTGATTACTCTAGTAGTTCAGTGGTAGCTTGGGGAATTTGACCCATAGAGGAATGATTTTAAGCACTTCCTCATTGAAATCAAATCCATTTATCCATGGTCTAAGTATGTTTGGTCTGCTATTCATAGTATACGGACCATTCATTAATACTTCATCCCTCTCTTCACAGTTGTTCATCAAAATTATGAAATACCCATCATTATGGAGAGTACCTTAGGTTTCCTTATCTTACTCCACTGCCCTGCTATGAATCGTTCAATTGCCCCAATAGTTGGAGTATTTCCAACCACGTACAGGATTATTGCTCGGTTCCACTTCTGATTTTCCTCAGCAATGTCCTCTTTCAGTAATTGTACTACAACTTCCCCGTCCTGTATCACCGGTGGAATGTACGATAAATTCATTCCCTTTGCTGCAAAATTGTTTTCATGGAACAAACCTGCCCAGGATCTTCCCCCATTTCCAGTATGTGTTGCTTTCTTCTCATGCATGTGTTTCTCAATGACGCTCTCAACATTTACTATTCCATTCCTCTGTTCCTTTGTCAAGCTTGCATTTACTGTTCCGTTGCTCTATGTTTTGATCGTACTCGCACCACCAATTGAGGTTGTCGATACAGCTAGTCCTTTCATTTCTGAGTTCACTTTAGGCGTCAATTGAGTGACTGGGCTTATCAGTGTTGCTGATTTTGGTCGATTGCTACTTAGATCTGGCCAATTTAGGTCGTTATCACTTTCCAGATCTAGATCTTCCTCTTGCATTTTTTCTTTACCTTTTGCATTTTGTTTTCCTTGCTCTCGCGTGATGGTATCTGTTAGTTTCCGTTCTATCACTTGTGTTTTGCTGGTGTTTTTCTTTGATCTCCCTCTTCCTCCAATTTCCGGCGAAGGCGCAGGTTAGCGAGCATCTAATGTGCGCCGAGAGAAAAAAGGTCCTTCCAACTGATATTACTTATTTGATCTGTGTTTAAATAGTTCATTATCCAACCCATTTTTTAATAGATAATATGGGTGGTTAACTGTTTTCTTTTAACCATTTTGCCACCCCTAGGAGTAGCCCAGGTTAGAGTTTAAAACTTGACGGGTACATTAAAACTTTTGAGTTCAAATCTACATTTATTAAAATTCACCAAAAATTATGAGCTCAGATCAATATATGTGGGTACAAGTAGAGTATATTAAGACGCACGATCAAAGATTGAAGAGCCATATCCGGAAAAAACGACAAAATAATAAACCCCATAAATAAGGAAGGAGGAATGCATCCTTTAATTTACAAAGTATTGGCACATACCAAAATATAGACATTATTTTTAATTCAAACATTGCAACTTATGTCTAACTTTATTCATACATGTTTTTCCTACATGTATAAGACTCATACATCAAAGTATGAACCCGCAAACCAATAGCTGGATATGGCAATGCTCAAAAAGAGGTGACTTCCTTTCTATAAAAGAAGAGACCAGAGGGTCCATCATTTGGCAACAGGGCAAGCTTCACCAAGCTTTCAGCACCTTCTTCTGCAGTTAAGCTCCCGGTATTGCAGTTCACATCTGTTTTGCAAAAGCCAGGACACACAGAATTTATCCGAAAATTCGGATATTTCGTAGCTAAAACCCTTGTGTAAGCAATCAGGGATGCTTTCGAGACTTTGTAAGCTGAGAAGTAAGTTGACCATCCTTTGGCTTCTATTGATTTCTCTTTAAAATCTTTAATAAATTCATTCAACACTTCATCCACCCTTTCTTCTGTCAGGCTTTTAGCGTCACTTAGCATTCCTATAGCCCATTGGTTGCATAATAGCTGTAGAATAGCGGAAAACGGTTAGAAGCATACTCAGGATTTGAAGGTGCACTTTAAGATTAAATTAAAATCTGTATATTGGATGTCCACTACTAAAAAATTATTATTTTCTAAACTTATATACATATATATATGAAATTTTTGCCGAACTTTATGGGTGCCGGTGACCCCTCTCGGTATAGCATAGGTCTGCCTCTGGTTAGAAGTATACTACCAGTATATAGAAGTTAAACTCAACATAATTCAGAGGGTATATATATATATATATATATATATATATATATATATATATATATATATATATATATATATATATATAGGGTTAATTTCACAAATGCTCATAGTTGGCGTTTTTTCACTAAAGTCGTATAACTTTGTTTCTCACACAAAAGTCATATAACTATGACTTTTTTTCATTAAAATCATATAACTTTATTTCTCACATAAAAATCATATAACTATGACTTTTTCACTAAAGTCATATAACTTTGTCTTTTAACACAAAAATCATATGACTATGATTTTTTTTTTGACCAAAATCATATAATTATGTTTTCTCACACAAAATCATAAAACTTTACTAACTCACAAAAATCATAGTGATCGGAAAATATAATTTTTCACTAGTATTTTCTTTTTTTGTAGATTTTTATTTTCTTATTTCAGCCTAAATAATAACCAATTAAAATAGGAATTACTCAACCCGACCTGGCCCACCCGACCCAATGCTCATATATATAAACTAAAATAATACTAAAAGCGAATAGTAAATCTTTCAAAACATGATACTTCTATTGTTTATTTTTCTTTTCGAGATTTTACTCAAATTTATAGCATTTTTATTTCAAGTTCTCTCTAATTATATACCTTTTATTTCATTATTTTTTTGTCAGAATTTCATGTGTTCCGAATTGAATTTTTTATGGGGAAGAATTCACTTTTAGTAAATAGGAATGACCCAACTTTTAATTTTTATATGAGTATCGGGTCGGGTGGGCCAGGTCGGGTCATTTCTATTTTAATCGAATTATTATTTATTAGGTTGAAAATAAGAAAATAAAAATCTACAAAATAAGAAAATACCAGTGAAAAATTATATTTTCCGATCACTACGATTTTTGTGAGTTAGTAAAAGTTTTATGATTTTTGTGTGAGAAAACATAATTATATGATTTGGTAAAAAAAAAATCATAGTTATATGATTTTTGTGTGAAAAGACAAAGTTATATGACTTTAGTGAAAAAAAGTCATAGTTATATGATTTTTGTGTGAGAAACAAAGTTATATGACTTTAGTGAAAAAACGCTAACTATTAGCATTTGTGAAATTAACCCTATTATGATTTATACAATTATGATTTCTTTACCTTTAACTTCCCCAAGAAAGAAGCGACATTAATAATTCTTGGGGAATTAGAGAGCTGAAGGAGGGGAATAAATGCTTCAATCATTCTTTTTGCACCATAGAAGTTTGTCTCTAGGCATTGTTTTGTCAACTCATAATCTGTAACTATACGCTCAATACCTGCAATTGATTTCTTAATACCACCCTCTTCCTGCATAATAATTACTTCAATTTGTTACTATTTCTTTGAATGTATATGTAACATAAAATAACTGAAAATTATCAAAGAGATCACCATTGACTGTTTCTAATTAATTTAGGATAACATATTAGAATTGGACTATATATCTTACCCCATTTTCAGCAGAAATAGTTACGAAGTCTCCTTCTATTAAATCTTTTATTATAACAACATCTCCTTCTACCATTAATCCACCAACTCCTGCGTTGTTAACCTGCAAATTAAATTGAAGCATTCATAATTTCTTACTTCTATGTAAAGCATATAGTACGAAATATGTACCCATGTATCCCATTTTTAGTCCAATAAATCAAACATCTTCCAATAAAAATATATTCACTAAATAATCTCATCATTATTTAATTCTCGTATTATAATTTCATCATTATAATCTCGGGATAACTTGTTCTCTAACAATCGACCCCAAGAGATTAAAACCAAAACTAATTAGCGCTAAAATATTTTGTCCCTCGTGACTATCTTGCTAAGACAACCTATAGCACTGAAGCAATATGTAGGAAAATTAATAAAATATATAATCCTATATCATACAATTTCAATGTTAAGTACGACTCTGTACTTATAAGTTACTCCTTCCGTTCACTTTTACTTGGCACGTTTTGACTTTTTACGTCCCTTAAGAAATAATATATGAAGTGCATAATTTACTATGATATCCATATTAATTGATGCATATTTTAGAAAATGATTTGAAATGAGTAATAAATACTATGGTCATAACAAGAAAAAAAAATTATCTTCTCTTGATATGCATAAAGTGCCACAAATAAAAATGAAAATCTATTTTTAATATACATACCAAATAAAAGTGAACGGATGGAGTATATCTTATTTCACTAATTTGTGAGCGAGTTTAAAAATTATCATCGATATTATAAAGAAATATTTACACTATCATAAAAACAAGTACAAGTAACTCCTATGATAACCATAAGTTACCGATTTTGTAGATCTCAAGGAGCCATCTTACAACTGATGGGCTTCCTCACTTGGAAAAAAACTTTAATTCTAAATAAATTAGATTGCATGTGACTGTTCACCTATTTTTGTAGATCTCAAGGAGCCTACACCTTTTTCACCTCCTCAACTTTTCTTTCTTTGGCTACTGATTACTGAGTAGGACTACAACTTTCTACCAATTCGAGTGGATTTTTGCCTTTTTATTTTGGTTCAAAATAAATATCTTTAATATTATCAAGAAATTAATAATTTTGCAGGGTTAAACTTCATATATCTCCAACATGAAAACATGAAGAATTCAGTACAAATAATTGATGAAAAATATACGAAGCTTTACCATACTGACAATAAAATTACTGTTCCCTCCAGCACACGTTATTGTTTTTATGGGTTATACACACCCCTTAAGAGAGACATTTAATACTAGTAGTAATTATTTAATCACCCTTTATCTTTCCTTAAATGGCTGATTTAATTAGTTAATACTTCATCCATTGAAACAGGATTAATGGATCTGGAAAAAAGTAATAATAGATGACTTCTTGTTTTTTTTAACGATTTTTTGGGGGGAAAATTCTCAGGTTCAGCAGCCACTACCTTTCAGATATGTGCACTAGGTAACCTGCTCACTGTGCAAGATGTAACCGAACTACACAAACCCAGTGCGAGGAGCTCTGACCGAGAAGGCTACTGGGGATCAAGACCCCTCTCACCCACCCAAAGAAGTAAAAAGAAAACATTTAAGTGATGCAGTGATAAATATAATAGTAGTGGATAGTACCAGAATATCGAGCTTTCCAAATTTAGTATTGACGAAGTCCACGAGAGAAGAAATACTAGCTGGATCCATAACATCAAGTTGATGAAACAAAATCTGATCATCTTCAGTTTTAATGCTTGAGTACTCCTCTTTGAGCTTTTCAACAGCTTCAATTCCTCTCTTTTCATCCCTTGCTGTCAACACTACCACTACTCCTTCCTTTGCTAGTTGCCTGCATGTTTCATATCCTATTCCTTTGTTTCCCCCTGTCACCACTGCATACCTGATCATACAACTTAAAACTTACTATTTTTATCTTTAGAGATTTACTTATAATTACCTAATAACCGTACCGATTCCGAAAAAAAAAAATCACCATCAGTGCGTAAAACTTAATAAAAAAAAGGGTGCACTAAGCTCCCATAATGCGTGGAGTTCGGGGAAGGGCCGGACCACAAGGGTCTATCGTATACGGCCTTACTTTGCATTTTTGCAAGAGGTTGTTTCCACGGCTCGAACCCGCGACCAGAGGTCACGTGGCAGCAACTTTATCAATTGCGCCAAGGCTCCCTTCAGTACATACAACTTAATATCAACCAAAAATTAGACATACCAAGGTTTGTAAATACCTTGTGTTCTCGTGGCTGGTGATTTTTTCTGCCATTGTTGAAACTGAATTTCAATGATAAGTAGCCTCTCTAGATTCAAGGACTCTTGCTATATTTAGTTTTTTGGGTCTAAGACGGATTACTTATCAGTGTATTGCGTTTGCTTAAAATAGTCTAAGGTGGTCATTGAAATCTAGGAAGACGGAATTATATAATACGGTAATGGAGAAAATTAACGAGGCTATAATTTATTTTATTTTTTTATTATATTTTAGTCTTATCCCCTATTTTTAGTGCCGGTTGGACAAGAACTGAAGAAAGCACGTTTTTCTCTTTTGGTTGGAAGAAGCAAATTGCTAAACGACTGCTATGCTTTTCTTGACCATTAATTCAACTTGCTTAGCTACAAATTTCAAAATGTTAAAGCTAGCGTTTGGTGATAGATCCCAAATTTATTTTAAAAAATCTGATTTGGGTGAAGTTTGGTTTGAAGATGAAAATGTGTTTGGACATACGTTTTCAAAATATATTTTCCAACTTTATTTTGGAAAAACATGTATATAATTCTCAAGTTTTGGATTTTGGCCCAAAATCAGCTCAATAGCTGATTTGAGATTTGAAATTTGAGATTTGGGATTTGCCAAAATATGAGCAAAATTTATGGCCAAACATGAGTTTTGAAAATAAATCCCAAATTTATTTTGGGAAAACTCATGGCCAAACGAGGGTCTGCGTTTCCACTTGTTTCGTTTTTAGTGTTTTATAAATACTAGTAAAGATTTTTTTTCTCTGGTATATAATTCAACTAGTACGACAATTTAGGATGTCACTGAATTATAATGCATCCATCCTCTACATTTGGTCAGCAAGAGAAATAAAAGGCGTCCAGTACACTAAGTTTTTACTATGCGCGGGATCCGGCCACAAAGATTTATTATACGGAGTCTTACCCGGTATTTTTACGAGAGACTGTTTCAACGGCTCGAACCCTTATAACCTCCTGATCACTTGGCAACAACTTTCCAGTTACCCCAAGGCTCCCCTTCATGCGCAATACCGTGTTATTATCTTTCTCTTGACATTAAAAATGCATTTGGGGTTTTCCACCTTTGGAAATTTTTTACTTCTTGTTCACATTTTCATCAATGAAAAGACAAGAAATGATTACAAAATCAAAAGACTCCCAAGGAAATTGATTGTGATTTGTTTAACAGCTTAGTATACAAAATTTGAAATATAATTTGCTTTCTTTTTGGGTTCTTCAGAAAACTTAACTCATCAAACAACTGAAAGATAATGTTCAAATATTGATTTGCTCTTCTGTTCTTTGAATAAAATCAGTAGCTTTCTAGTGCAGTCCAAGATTTGGAGAAGACAACAGAGGAAACTACAAGAGATATAAGCTAATGGCAAACTCACAGACTTTAAGGGCAAATCATTCTTTGAGTCTTCTAAAAAAGGCATTCCACTGCACTAAGCTCCAGCTATGCACGGAGTCCGGGGAAGGGCCGGACCACAAGGGACTATTTTCGCAGCCATTCTTTGAGTCTTCTATTCACCCTATATTTTAGATGCTATATATAGCTGCCTATATATATGAAATGGCATTTCATACAACATACATTACTTAAATTAATGCATTTCACTGAATATTATTACATGCTAGTCTAAAGTGTATATCATTAGCTACACGGATACAATGAACAACATACACATACTTTCATTCGAAAGATGAAACTGCTTTCCGATCAAAGAACAAACCAGAAGGGCCATCAGCCGGTTGCATAGCTAGCCTTACAGGACTCTCTGCACCTTCTTCAATTGACAATAGCCCACGATTGTAATTCATATCTGTTTTCACAAAACCAGGGCAAACGCAATTGATCTGGATAGACGGATGCTTCTTTGCCATGATACTCGTGTAAGCGTTCACGGCTGCTTTAGAGAGTATATAGGCTGACATGAAAGAAGGCCAACCCTTAGCTTGGAGGGAATCTTCTTTATAGTCCTTTAGATATTGAGCTATCACCTCTTCTATCTTCTCTTCTGTGAGGTTATCACTGTCACTTAATACTCCTTTAGCCCATTCATGTTTCAAGTTCTGGAAATGCAATTAGAGAATTTCAGTCAGCTACTCATAGGGATTATCCAATTACCAACATCGATTTACTGACAATTAGGAAAGCATGACAAACTTGTCACCACATGAAAAAGAAGATTGAAACTAACAAGCTGCTTGGAAACAGCCTCTTGCAGAAATGCAAGGTAAGGCTACGTACAATAGAACCCTGTGGTTCGGCCCTTCCCCGGACCCCTGTGATTACTGCCCTTTTAAACTATCAAGCTGCTGATAAATATCCTAGCTTAATTAATTACATTACATTAAGTTTCCTTTGTTTCTTAACATATTATGCAGACAAAGATCCCCTTTATCATTTAAAGACAAAAGGAAAATTGACTTGACGAAGGTCAGATCATGATTTATATACAATAAAATCAGCCTGACACTACTACTATTAGGATTTCCTCAGGGTCTATTTTCTTCATTTTTGTTGCTAGTAGAGTAAAAGAGTAAGTCTTTAAGTTAAAGGCAGAAGAACATTGTGTAGAAAATCAATAAATTGATGAGAACAAAGGTGTATTTAATGGCAAGATTTCAGTAATCTATGATTTTTCCAATCTAAAAAGAATAGATGGCATATACATTAGATTCTCTCAAAAAGACAATAAAAGGCAGAACTGTGTAGTTCTAAACGTTTTAATCATACTTTTACTTCAGAATTTATCATTCCTACGGGCCAAGCATGTATAAGCCTAAAACCTTAAAAGTTAAATCACGCTAAATGGAATAAATGCAGCTATGTAGATGTATTAAAGTTTCAAAAATATGTGAAAGATAAGAGTAGAGCTGTAGAGGTACTTCAATAGATTAGACCTTCCATTCCAAGAGGAGAAGAGTTGCCAGGTTAATACCTTTAGCCTTCCCATAGAGGAAGAAACATTCACAATCCTCGGCGAGTTAGATAATTGGAGCAGTGGAATAAATGCCTCAGTCATTCTCTTCACACCGTAGTAGTTTGTTTCAAGACATTCCTCAGCTAACTCATATGTCTGAGTCAATATGTTATTCCAGTTGATTTGAGATCCTCCTGCCTATAGCAGAGAGAATGACAAATTAAAGAGTGCAAAAGATGGAAGTCTAAAGCCAAGGGTTTCATGATTACATGTCAAAAGGTGAATTTTCCAGAAAGAGAGAGTTATGGCTACTGATTGTGCCGCTTGATAGTCGAATCTAAAGATTTCGAGATAAAGCAGGACTTGTTCTGGTTTCTTGACTACAGCAGAAACCTCAAGCCATTTTCATGCTTAACTCTATATAGAAATCAAGTTGCACATATAATTTCTAATCAAACATCTAGCGTAAAAGAAAGTTCTATTGTACGCAGTCTTATCATGCATTTCTGAAAGAGTCTATTTCCACGGCTCGAACTCGTGACCTCCTCTTCACATGGCAACAATTTTAATAGTTATGCACCAACAACAATTATAAATTTATAAATACATGTAAGTTATACTATAAGGTAATTACCGGTAAATCTTTATGAAGCATCAATCCAAAACTTACACAATCAGGCCACAGTTATAAAGTAATTAACAGCTAATCTCTACGATGAACATTAATTGATGACCTAGTAAAGACGGTAACAAACCTATACTACACTGATTGTCAGTGTGCCAGTATGTATAACCTGATACTTGTCATGTGAGTATTAATCAACTGTCTTGTATTAAGACACAATTAATCGATAGTTTAAGCCTAGTTAAAAGGACTTACCCCACTGGACTCTTGTGTAGCTCTTAGGGCATCAGCATCTGCAGTGACTCCACCAATTCCTGCATTGTTCACCTGAAAATACCCACAGCTCTATCACTTACCAAATTATTTTGATCATAAACAACAACAACAACAACAACAACCCAGTAGAATCCCACAAGCGGGGTCTGGGGAGGGTAGTGTGTAGGCAGACCTTACCCCTACTCCGGAGGACGATGGAAAAAGACAATGGAGCAGTAACATCAAAGGAAGTGAGAAAGATAACACCAACAACGTGATAACCAGAAAATAGAAAGAAAAGCAATAACAAGAAGCGCTAACCATGACACAGTACTACAGACACAATGGAAGTAATAAGAATACAACAAGAGCCACTAGCATCCTAAGACAAAACACTATCAAACTGCCCTCCTACAATCTAACCTGCAACCCTAATAAAGTAATATGGGCACAAGAAATTAAAATCAAGAACATAGCTATGATTCTACCAAGATATCAAGTCTGCCAAATTGGGTCTTAACGAATTCTGCTAAAGAAGCAATAGTGGAAGGATTCATAACATCAAGCTGCTGAAACACCACATTTTCAGCCAAGCCAATTAACCCTTTCAGCTTCTCTACAGCTTCAAGCCCTCTCTTCTCATTTCTAGCAGTCAAAACCACAACTACTCCCTGAGATGCAAGCTGCTTGCATATTTCGAATCCAATCCCTTTGTTTGCCCCTGTAACTACTGCATACCTGCATCAAAAATTAATTATAGATACAGAGTAAAACAAATAAAATAATTGTAATTGCAAATGCTAAAAGAAGAAATTCAGTACTTTGTGGCTCCGCCTCTGATTTCTTCTGCCATTAAGAATATCGTTAATTGTGGTTTGAAGAAAGCCAGACCAATTAAAATCATACGCACCCCACCCCCACCCCCACCCCCACCCCCACCCCAAACTTGTACGGATTTCCCTTTGACGCCTTATCTAAGAGTCCGTTTGGACATAATAATTTTTTATCTTTTTTCCAAAACAAAAAGTACTTTTTTTCCGAAATCTTGTTCATAAATTTTTCTATTTTTACTTAAACATACATTTTGAAAATTTTTAAAAATTTGAAAAACTCCTGAAAGCTATATTTCAATTAAATCACTCACAAAACTTCAAAAACAACCCAAAATTATATACATGTCCAAACACAATTCTAATTTTCAAATGCTATTTTCACTTGAAAAATTGTTTCCCCCTATTTTGGAAATTTACAATTCTTATTTCCAAACACTCACTAAGATTTGTTCTGAACACTTGAACTACTCAAAATTTGAACCAATTAGACACTCTTTTGATAACCAGCAAAAAACTGAAAAGAGTGTAATACACTCGCCAATGATGTGGTAAATTGAGGAATTAGCCGATAAAATTTGGTATTTGGGTCCAAAATAAGTAAATAACAAAATGGATTATGAGGAAAAAACAAAAATTATTTTTAAAAGAAAAAGGCGTAATGGTTCCTTGGCCACTTAAACTTGTATCGGTTTGTAAAGCCGATACATGAACTTATATTTTTTCCATTTGAACACTTCAACTTGACGGAATGAATACTAATAAACACATTTGATCATTGACCAAGCCTATGTGAAAGTGGTTGGCTAAATTGTGCGCAAATCACGCTGCCAAGGCGCGTGAATAGTTTTATTTTTGTTAAAAAATATTAGAAATAGAATAAAACATAAATAAGAAAGGAAAAAAAAAAACGAAAAAAAAAGACCTTTCTCTCTCCCCTTCTCTCTTTCCCTCCTACCCACCTCTCTTATCTTCCCAAGCAACTCCCTTATTCTGTAAAAATTTTTTATTTTCTATCCTACTTTCCCTCCCCTTCCCCATTTTTTTCCCTTTCTCTTCCCCATTCACTAAATGACTCATGCATAAGGATGGCAAGCACAAATCTAAAAATAGTCTAAATTATTATGTGTTGATTTACTGGAAAAAGAAATGCAAGATCGGATATTCGATTCATCAGCATCATCAACATACGGTTCTTCTTGGTCGTCAGTGAGCTCTTCCAGATCGGACTGGAGCTATTTTGGGAAAATCTAGGGTTTTCAGGTGGGACTTAACGAAGAAGCCGTCAATATGAGGAGGGCGGGGTTTGGAATCAAAGGCGAGTAGTTCTAGGGAGGGACTATCCCTGTCCCATTCCCTTTTGTGAAACTCGTCGTCGGTTAAACACAAGAGAGAACTCAATGGAGGAGGGCCCCGCCGCCCACTACAACATTATATATCTATAGCTACGAATTCTCAGCTACAAATATGAAAGTCATGGCTAATACCTAACAATAGCCACAAAAATTAAAATTTCATAGCTATTTACAATTTCGTAAAATTTATTAGCTACAAAATTAATTTGGCAATGTTAATTCTTCATTTTTGCTATAGTTACTAACTATCGTGGCAATAATTATCCAATAGCTACAAATTTATTGCTACAACAAAACTTCGTAGTTAATCGTATAATTTTTTTACGCGTTTGAAGTTACTATAGCAATAACAATCTTATAGCCACAAAGAATTCCTTGAAATAAAATGTTATAGCTAAATAGATCTTTTTGCTTCAAGCTATAAAAATCTGTGGCAATAAGTGGCTTAATAGCTCCAAACTTATTCATACAATTTATATTTGTAGCTAATAGAAAGTTTTTTTCCACGTATTTGAAGCTATTGTAGCAATACTAACTTTTTAGCCACAAAAATTACTTGAAATAAAATGTTGTAACTAAGCCTCAATTATAAAAGGTTGTAGTAATAGCTGGCTCAATAGCTAAAAAATTATTTTCATAATAAAATTCATAGCTAAATATAAGCTCTCATCACATTTTGAAGTTATTATAGTAATATTTAGCCATAATAAATAATTTAAAAGAAATGTTGAATTGAAAAGAATTTTTTATTCAAGTTATAAGAAATCGTGGTAATAGTTGGATTAATAGTTACAAGTATTTATTATAATAACTTGATATAGCCACAAATTGAGAGAGACAATAAACTTCCGCAACTAAATTATAACTTTTTGTCATGCACATGAAATTACCATATGAATTGTATTATTTTGAACCACAATAAATTAGTTGTAACAAAAACTCATAGTTAAAGAAATATTTTTTCTTTGATTACAAAAACCATTACAAGAGTTTGTCCAAAAAAGAGGAATTTTAGGAAAAATGAATTTTAAATATGAAAGTTAGATTACTCTTCAAATATAGAAAAATTAGTAGTTGTATATAAGTTAAGTAAATTAATTCTCAAATAACAAATATTAAGGTACAACGCATAATCTTCAATAATAGATCATTTGCATAGTTACTAATGGCCACAAAGCTTATCAATTGACTTCTTGATCTTATTAAGCTTATACTTTTTTTATGTTGTTCCCTTTTTAACTATTTTATATGTAAAATTCAAGTTTTTATTGTCGTAGAGACATTTATGTATATTTCATACTTTATTATTTTTAAATAAGTTTTTGGAATAATTTTGTATACCTAATCACTTATTTTAAAATAAGTACTCATATAGTAAAGACTTTGATAGTTTGTAGAGATATTTATATATGTGTGGTCCTTAATTATTTAAAATTAAAAATAAATATTTAGAGTAATTTTATATACTTTCAATTATTTTCAAGATAATTACTTGTATATTAAGAACTTTGTGATAATTTTGGTGTATTTAGTTTTGGCAAATGACCAAAGGTCCCAAATTCACACAAAGACCATAGTAACACTATAAAAGGGGAAAAAAATATAATTGTAGTGACAGATGAAATTCTGTAACTACGGAATAATGATAGACATAAGGTCATTAAAATAGAAATAAAAAATATTTAAAATAGTTATGAAATTTTGACGAAAATAAAATCGATCACTATTTTCCGCGCTGGCATTTAACAAAATATCGTTGCTAACAATATAGAAACTAATCATATTAGTTTTTTAAAAATATATTTTTCTAATTATGTAATTTAAAAAAATAAGTTTTCTAATATCTAGTTACTCTAAGAATTAAGAATTTAATATGGCTGATATTGAAGTCCATAACAAAAATATTTATATCATAAGTCCTATTAAATAAGTATTACCTATAACTATAAGTTCCCATTATAATTAAAATAATTTAATTATGTCTAGATAAAGTGTAAATAATTAATTATATAGAATTTAAATAACTATAAACTCATTGTATAACTAGTTATGTATATTTAATCTAGACAATAAAAATATTTATTATTGTGATCCTCTATCATAAAAAAAACAAATTACCATCTTTCAGCTATGTCAAAGTCATTATCACGTTCTGTGATTAGTAATTAGGTATTTTATTGAATTAAACTTTTGTATATAATATATCACATTTAATCAACTATGATCTTGTATCTAATTATAATGATTTCTAATTATATTCTATTTAAATAATAAATAAAAAAGTTATTCATGAAAATATGTAATTTGATCTACTATGTCTAATGTAAATTAAATATTCATAATTAAATTTTTTATATATTTATAATATTTGTACATAAAAAGTTAAAAAATTAAAAAATAGGGATATAAAAGAACAACGAGATCCCCAAAACCTAGCCCTCACCTTTCTCCAGCCGCCACGCCCTCTCCCATTCTCCCAACTCCTTCGTCAGCCACTAGAGAAGCTAGGGTATGTTTCTATCTTTTTCAAATCTCACTTTTATGTCATTAATCTCTCTCTCTCTCTCTCTCTCTCTCTCTCTCTCTCTCACACACACACACACACACACACACACATATATATATATATATATATATATATATATATATATATATATATATATATATATATATATATATATTTCGTTAGTTACTTTATTTCTTACTTTTTATTATTTTCAATGTGTATATCAGATTTTATTTTGGTAAAAAAAACCTTTATAATTCTTCTTAGTTAATTGCGAAAAGACAAAATTGTGAGGAGAAAAGTTGTAATCTTTATGTTCATTAATAGATTGGTATATCAGTAATACTTTATCTCGTTACAGTTGAAGCTTCTGAAATATGATTCAGGGAATACTTTAATTATTTTTTATGAAATTAATTTTGATCGTTTTTCTAGGTGGTTTCAGGTGATTACGAATTCTTTTAATCGATATTACTCTTTTATCGACGTGAATGAATTCTATTGGTATTTCCTACGCTTGTTGTTGCTCATGTTAATATATATGTGGGTTCCTTTCCTATAGTTCTTCCATGAAATGATATTGTAGGACTACATGCTTGTTCTTTGATTGAGCAAAGGATTTGTTAAAAGAAACTTCTAGGGCAAAAGATTGAGTTGTATTATGAAATATTTGAAATTTTACTGTCCGTTTTAAGACTATTGGGAGTTTTATTATCTCATAAAATTATTCATATAAGCATGTTAAGGAGATATTAGTAAAGCAGTACAAAATAAACCATTAGAGAGATATATGATTTTTTTGTGAGAAGGAAATCTATAATGCTTTTCTATAAAATATATGATCATTCTGAACCTATTAATAAAGTGTATATTTGATCAGTTATACTTTCGTTCCTAATGTTGATTTACTTTATTAAAACTAACAGGCAAATTGTGAAATCATCAAGCTAATATTGTATTGATCAGACTAAGGTGCAGTTGGAGCAATAGCAGGAGAGAAAGGAGAAGATTGTGTGGCTTCTGGTCTCAAGCAAAATATTGCTAACACGATGCGATACATAGAGAATTATGTATTGTAAATGTTTTGAAATTTTAAATATACAATTATGTATAACTTGGAACCTATTTTGAAATTTAAAAGATTTGGATTCTTAGCTTCCAAATTCTTGTGCCTAACAATGCTTGTGGCAAATTCTTCAATTTGTAGCAATAGAATCATTGAT